GAGATCAGTCCTGGGTGTTCATTGGAAGGACTGATGTTGAAGCTGCAACTCCAATACTTTGACCACGTGATGCGAAGAGCTGACTCATTTGAAAAGACCCTGATGCTGGGAAAGATTGAGGGCAGGAAGAGAAGGGGACGACAGAGGATGAGATGGTTGGATGGCATCACCGACTCAATGGATATGAGCTTGGGTAAACTCCAGGAGTTGGTGACGGGCAAGGAGGCCTGGCATGCTGTGGTTCACAGCGTTGCAAAGAGTTGGACACAACTGAGCAACTGAACTGAACTGAACAATGCACACAAGCCAAGAACATGGAATCAGGGACTAGCCATCCAGAATCACCCTGAATAATATAAATGCATAAGGCGCTGGTCAATCCCACCTCTAGTGCAGTCCATCAGATGCCACAGATTCCTGTTTCATACTTCAGGATTAACATTGCAGGCACAGCTCTGCTGCTCTAGAATTTCCACCCAGAATATAGTCCCTCTTCCAAAATCAGACTTGCAGAGTCTAACTGGCAATGTCAATTCAGATTATTTTTAAAATGACCACTTACACAACCAAAAAAAATAAATAAATAAAAAGAAGCCTTACCATAGCTCTGCTCCTACTTGGAGGTCATTGTTCTCAGAGTAGATCAGAGACCAGAGTGCCTGCAAATGCTGCCACCTTTGTGAATGGATCTGGCAGTCACAGTTTCTGATGCTCTGACTCAGGCAAAGGAGAGCAAAGGATATGAAATTTGTGCGTGGATTTTATCTTTAGTATCAATGATAAGCAAAGAGAAGGGACAAAGATAATCTCTACTCCCAGGAAGGTAAACCAGACATCTAAATCCCTCTGGGAAAGATAAACATAAAAACACCCAATTCCCAACACAGAATACCCAGCAGATTAGGACAATCAACTCTGAGGATCTTAGCACAGTGCATCCTCACCTACCTGGGAGCATGCAGTAGATCCTCATGAAACACTCCTTTCATGAATGATTAAATGTTTCCCCATAATGGTCTTGCTCAGACCTCACTGCTTTCTCTAGTCCCCACTGAATTCAAAAGTGATGAACCAAGAATGTCATCTTTTCAGACGTTGTTAGTGATCTTCACTGTGTTTTTTTGTGATTTGTGTTCGGATAGGATGGTTGTGTGTCAGGCACTCAGACACGGTTCTTGATTTCCCTAGATTAATGCTGCAGGAAATGAGGTCTGGGGGAAGCAACTTCAGTGGCTGCTCAAAGTGTAAATTAAAGACCTTCATTCCAGACTTGGAGGGTCATAACACCTGTGTGTGAGACCCCCTATCAGTTTTTAATGGGATTCATAAGTGATTTGTACAGACATGAAGTTCTGGTGACCAAAGTCATTTTCAGGCTTGACTCCCCATGGGGAACATTTGTGTATTTTTTAGAACTGCCATACCCCGTGTCCCTCCCCTACATACTCTGTTAGTCTTTGGCAGGGCCCAGGATCAATGATATCTTAACAAAGTGGCCCAGGGTATTCTATTGTGAGGCCAGGGTAAATAAACCTGGCTTCCCAGGTTCATTTTTGGACTTAATACAGGGTCTGTTCCATAGGGAAGCCTGCTCTACATAGACTTGAATGGGGAATAGTCTGTCTCACGTTCTAGTGTTGTAATAGAATGTAGGTGCCTCTAGGAGACAAATGCCTCCAAAGATAAGGGCGGAGAAACCTAACATAAACTTCATAAAAGAACTTTGCATATACACAGAGTTTTTCAGGCCCCCAAAAGCAGTAGAAAAAGAGTCAGAACATGCAGGCCCACATGAACCATGGGGAAGCCTTTGGCTCTCACTCTGATTGCCATAGACGATCACTGGAGCAGAAGGAAAATTCCCCTTAGATAATTTAGGAGCGTGATATGAGTGGAGCAGCAGATGTGCCTCTGTGACAGCAACAGACATAAATCTAGGCTTCTTAACATAATTTCCATTGAATCAGAACTTCCCTAACATTTTATATCCTAGCTCTCCTTCACCTTTAGACATCACCCCTGTGCTATCTGCTTTATTCATTCCCACCTACCTTGGTGAATGACTGTTGTCTCCCTTTCTTTACCTCCAAGGGCTCTTTCCTTTGCCTAAAAAAAAAAAAAAGGTGACCGGGTTCTGCTTAGAGACAGCAAAATCTGTCTCTTATTAAAAACAAAAAGGAACATGTTACTTATCCTAGGGATTCAACACCAGCTTTTCAGTTGAGAAATCTGGCAGAACCCTTGAATCAGGTGAACAAAATTAACATTAGCTGTAATGGGACAGATTGATATCTGCTGACCAATGTGCACATCGTCATTGCTGGGATAGTTTTGCAAAACAAAAAAAGGCAACCGAAAAATATTCATCTAATCATGAGAACAGGGTTAAACACATTTAAACCACATATAACTGTCATGTCCTGTAGTCTTGTGTATTTTAAATAGGAAGTCTTTCCTTGATGCAACTGGGAGCTCTCTTATTCAGAACTTTGGGTTATTCTATCCATATAGCAATCAGCTCTATTGGTTCATTTTCATTATCCTTGTCTAAGCAGACTGATACTGCACCCAGACAGGACCTAAATATTACTTATTCTCCTTCTTCACTGCTATCCCAGGACCCAACCTCACATTCAGTGGGAATCTTGTGTTATCAACATATCCCCAAATCAATAAGACAAAAAGGGGACATTTTCAACATTTGTACATCAGTAATTCATGGTGGGAATTCTTTATGCTGTAAAGCAGTGGTCCTCAACCTTTTTGGTACAAGGGACCAGTTTCATGGAAAATTTTTTTCATGGACCAAGTCACGGGGGGAATGGTTTTGGGATAATTTAAGCATATTACATTTATTGTGTACTTGATTTCTATTATTATTACATCAGCTCCACCTCAGATCATCAGGTATTAGATCCTGGAGGTTGGAGACCCCTGCTGTAAAGGAAGCCTGATGGAGAAATTGGAGAGAAAGCAATGGGATATAAAAGAGGAATATCCTAGAGATCTAACTTTAGCTACCATTATGAGAAAAGGAAAAGTATTAAAAACAAATGTGTTACATCTATACCACCAGAGGTATAGAAGTAAATGTGAGGAAGTTCTAAATACATGGGATTTCAGCAAGAAAAAGGACACAGCTGCGGATCCAGATCACAAATTTTACCTGAGAACCTGCCATTTCTTCCTCTTCCTCCTCCATTTCTAGGTTTCTTTCTCAGGCGATAGTATGGAGAGAAATCACACCTGTACATCTTTGAAGGCATCAGTGCAGAACTTTCACCTGCTACCTGCACGCTCAGCGGCAGGAGGCCCTTAAAATGCAGAAAGTCCACACTCCCCTATCCTTTGTCACCTGACAGATTCTGAAAAAAATAAGCTCCCACCTGGAGGCCAAAACATGATATTCTCCTTCTCTGTTTTCATACACCCTTCTGTCTCCCAGTTAGCCACTAACGCAGTGACAGCAATGGGCCGTGTGGTTTGCATTGACCTGACCCACTGCACAGACTCTGTTACCTTTCCTCGAACCAAAAGCTGGACTCAAGTCTCATAGCACAAAAATATCTGCGAGCCCTCTTGCATAACCCTGTATTCACCTTGGAATTGCCAAAAGAATGTAATTAAAACAAATTTATTTGTAATCTCTATAAATTAAATTATTTTGTTCACCTGAAACTATGTTACACTTGAATCAAATATAATATTGTGTGTCAACTATACTTCATCTTTTAAAAATGCACTCTCTCAGACCAATAGAATCTGTAAAGGAGGGTACAGGTGATAGCAGTAATTAAAACTTGCCATGCCATCTTTATTGTAAGCCTAGAGTGAAAAGTATCTTGCCTCTCAAACTTTAGCAGGCATACAAAGCATTCCAGTACCCATGAAAGAAACCGTGATTCTGCAGGTTGGAATGGAGCCCATAAATTGGCATCTTTATCAAGTTTCTTCCTGTGTCTATACTGCTGCCCAGACCCATTTTTTTGCAGCACTAGAGAAAGAAGGCACACCTCACCTCAGCCCCTTACACAAACCACCTTATCTCAAAACTACTTTGGTTCCACTAAAGACCACCATCTCGGCCTTGAAGAATCACATGTTTGGCTGGTACTTTAAAGTTTACAGCAGGCTAATAGAGGCTGCAACATCTGAGTAAGTCTCTTTGGAAAACAACATACTGGAGAAGACTCTTGAGAGTCCCTTGGACTGCAAGGAGATCAAACCAGTCAATCCTAAAGAAAATCAACCCCGAATATTCATTGGAAGGACTGATGCTGAAGCTGAAGCTCCAACACTTTGGTCATCTGATGCAAAGAGCCAACTTTTTGGAAAAGACCCTGATGCTGGGAAAGATTGAAGGCAGGAGGAGAAGGGGACGACAGAGGACGAGATGGTTGGATGGCATCACTGACTCAATGGACATGAATTTAAGCAAGTTCTGGAAGTTGGTGATGGACAGGGAAGCCTGGTGTGCTGCAATCCATGGGGTTGCAAAGAGTTAGACACAACTGAGTGACTGGACAACAACAATATAATATGTATATTATATTATAATGTCATAATTCTATTATTTATATGATATGTTATAATTATATTATACATAATTGTATAATATTATAATATGATATGTATTAATATAATATAGTCATTAGTGCAATGACTACTGAGCATCTACTATGTGATTACAAGTGTTTACAAGTAGGTTACAGTGCACTGTTTTGGAAACTTCACAACTGTTATTGAAGTTAATCTTCACAACACCTTGGGATTTGGGCACTAAGAGTTTCATAATAACCAAGAGGATGTAGATACTGGGACTCACCTTTCTATTCTGTTTCTCTATCATTGATTTTTGTTTTTTACTGTTTGCATACAAGAGAAGCTACCCATAGACAGCTGGAGGAATATGGAAAGTAAAAGACTATCCTAGAAGTTCAGAGAGTTGTTTCTAGGGGTTAATTGCTTTGTGTTTACTTTTACTTTTTCTAATACGGTACATAAAGATGTGGTGCTTCCCAGGTGGTTCGGTCGGTAAAGAATCTGCCTGCAATGCAGGAGACCCGAGTTCAATCCCTGGGTGGGAAAGATACCCTGCAAAAGGGAATGGCAACCCACTCCAGTATTCTTGCCTGGGAAATCTTATAGACACAGGAGCCTGGCGGGACCCCTTTGTTTCCATGGGGTCACAAAGAGTCGGACACGACTAAGCACATACAACCAACCTCCTCCAACCATAATCATTACCATGTGTGATATAGATAGCTAATGGGAAGTTGTTGTGTACACAGGGAGCTCAACCTGGTGCTCTATGATAACCTAGAAGGATGGGATGAGGGTGGTGGGATGGAGGTTCCAGAAGGAGGAGACATATGTGCACTTATGCTGATTCATATTGTTGTATGGATAAAACCAACACAACATTGTNTTGCAGGCGGATTCTTTACCAGCTGAGCTACCAGGGGAGCTCACACAATTATGTGTGGAATCTACTAAAGTCCAACTCACAAAACACAAGAAAATATTCATAGATGGGAATTTGCCTGGGAAATGGGAGATGCTGGACACAAGTTACAAAAATTAGGTTATGCAAAATGGATGGACTGTGGAGATCTAAGTACAACCTGCTGAAACAGTAAATTATACATGGATTGTATTTGAGAGTTGCTAAGATCCACCAGGTAGGGGTGTGGGGACAGGAGGAAGAGGCTCAGATGGAAAAGAAAGAAGGAAGTTTGGGGGGAACTCTCCATAGAAAGAAAGGGCAAAGAGGAGCACAGCCCGCCCGTCAAAATACCAAGGCTTTTACAAACTCCACATTCACAAATACCAACACGTTTGTTTTTCAGACACCAACACTCAGGCAAGCCAGAGTCAAGCCAGGGGTTTGTGGGTCCCGAATCCTTCCTCTAGAGAAACAAAGGGCACCAGTTCGCAGTCCGCCAGCCTCTAAGGCAACTGGGCACCCCGATGAAGCTGGAAGTGTCCCCATCACATGCCGAAGGCAGATTTCTGCCCGCTCTGTGAGTCGAGGCAGTTTGAGCCAGAGTTAGTGGCTCCGCATAACCAACCCTCCTCTTTGGGCTCTTCCTTGGGTTTCACCAACCCCATCTCAGAGCCTGGAGGTGTAACAGGGAGCCCCAGGTGAGCTCCGCCAGGGCTCTGCCGCCCCCTAGCGGCTGCCGGCTCTAACGTCAACTCTCATCCCTTGCTCCTGCCTCCCCGCCTCTCCCCAGCCTGGCAGCTGCGCTTGTCCATCCTCAATACACCTTAAGTTTTCTTTTTCTTTTTTTTAATTCAGGAATATTGGACTTTACCAAAGGCCACTTGATGGACACTATTTCTAATCATAGACAGAAAAAGTAAATGACAAGAGGAAAATGTTCTTCTATGGTGATTGAAGAGATGAAAGTGTTAGTCACTCAGTTGTGTCGACTCTTAGTGACCCCATGGACTGTATCCGCTGGGCCCCTCTGTCCAGTGGGATTCTCCAGACAAGAATAATAGAGTGTGTAGCCATTCCCTTCTCCAGGAGATCTTCCTGACCCAGGGATAGAACCCAGGTCTCCTGCATTACAGGCCGATGCTTTACCATCTGAGCCACCAGCTCATCTCTTGAACATGGGCTGGGTATAATTACTCCTGGGGTTACTTCTACCCTCACTTTGGTGGCAGGCCCCTGTCTACCTGTTCACACTTTCTTAATGTGTCAAAAAGAAAGCTTTATAATAGGATAGGTTTACATTTGAAATCCAGCTTTCCCTCTTCTGGCTGTTGTGATCTTCAAGGAGTTTATTCTCCTCTTAAGCACTGTTTTTGCAAAGTGGAGATAATAAAATCCACTTTGCATAACTTTTAGTGGAAGATCCCCTGGAGGAGGGTTTGGCAAAACCCACTCCAATATTCTTGCCTGGAGAATCCCATAGCCCATAGTGTTGCAGAGTCAGTCACAACTTAGCATATGCACATTATTTTTAGGCTCCTCCCATGACCTCTTTAAGTCATCTTATGAAGGCTTTACAACTGTTCATCTCCTTACCCGAGTACTTGGGAAGATTGCATTCCCTCTCCTAAAGGTACTCTGGGCTTCCCAGGTGGCTCAGTGG